TTTTAGCGGATTTGGTAACATAGGCAATTTAAAAATGAGCTCGGTGCCGAAGTTGCTGGAAATGGCAGAAGTGCAAAATGCTCTCCTCCCCCCCCGTAGCCAAACTGTGCCCTTTCCATCGCTGGGTTACTGCTAAGATGACAAATAGTGGTTTCACTTTTTTCACCATCCAAATAGACCTTTGGCGCTGCTCACTCTTCAAAACCCAGGTCACACCTTTTCCAAAAATAGATTATTGGGTAGATTTCTCGAGAACGCCCAATGGCCTGTTTGTCCCTGTTAAAGCGATTATCACATCTGCTTGTCTCAGAACCGCCTGGTGCCCATGCCACAGGCGCCCGATGTCAAAACTACGTCGAGCACCAAATTTATTGCAAACCTTTCCAGGGTGTAGGGAGGTGGGGAAGGGCGGGAGTAATCCCATCCCTCGAACACGGATTTCGCATCTGGTCGGCGCGAAAACGCCTTCTGGGCGCAGGCGCCGAACTGCCTTCCAGCGTCTGCTCCTGTGGCGCGGTTTTGGCTCTAAGCGGATGCAATATTCTTGCTCTTATTCTTCTCTCTTGACCAATCTAAGGATCAGGGGACAGTTTTGATCAGAATGTCATCCGATTCTGAACTATGAACTACTCAACATAACACAATCATGCTAGTTTTAGATATGACTCGACTTGCTCTGTTAGCTGTCGTAGCCGTCGTGCTCATCTGCGACACCTCAGCAATCTTCTTCGGAGGAGGAGGTGGCGGCGGTGGTGGCTGCTGCCCACCACCACCACCATCATGTGGATGTGGAGGGTAAGCATCCAGCTTTTAGATTGGACCAATGAAACTTCATGACATCCAACCGATGTGCCAAATTTCAGTGGTGGTGCACCTATGCTCCCACCCATCCAGCTGCCATCGATTCCATCTGGAGGTGGCGGATGTGGATGTGCTCCGCCACCATCACCATGTGGATGTGGTGGAAAGTAATCTGGCCTGGCCCAGCGATTTCTTCATATTCATATGTCTGTACATCTCGGCAATACACCACAGTATTTATTTATTTATTTATTTGTTCCACAGATTACCACGAATAAATATTCATTTATCATTTGCTATCTATACTTTTGAAGTTTTGGTCACAGAAATCAAGCAGATATTTGTTCATATTAAAAAGACGAAGGGCCGCTTATGGTTAGAACAAAAGGAGGCGCAGATGATAACGAATAGAAATACCTGATGTGATTCTACGGAGGGAATAAAATATGTGCTGCTTGTTCAGGCGGGTTGTCGCTGCCTGCGAATCAGATGATGTCACCCTGACCATGAGCCCATAACCATTGGTAGGAAACGCTACCCTGTAGTTACCAACCCAACCCTCTTCATACGCCCTCTCGTTTATAGGGATGATGACTGACGTCCACCCTGATAGTTGCGCGTGATCCCCTGAGATCCAATTCGGAATGAGAGAGCTCGACAGTTATTCTGGTCTCTTCGAGGGAGAAGGGTGAAGTGTATTCATACATGTGTATGCACCCAGTACAAATTGATCTGCGCCACATGGACCACTTCCAGCGTGTCCTAGGGGCGCTCAGATATCTCTATTATGACACCCGAAGACCCTCTACACTCAAAATTTCTCGATTATATCTGCTTCAACGGCTGAAGCCTCTGAACGCTGAACCCGTCAGAGAAACACTAAAGAAAATGAATTGCAGCCGTGGAAAATCAACGCCTTTTTCCACTATAGGAATGAGCTCCCGGCACCCGTTTTCGGAACAGACTATTACGACATGTTGTAGAGCTCTACTTATTGTGAGGTACGAGCAAGCGCCAAAGCTCCTCCACGGAGGGTACAAACTGCGCTGGACAGATAAGGGCCGAACTAGTCTAAACGAAATGGAGACGAAATTTCGGTCACAACAGTCTTCCCACTGAAATACTACCGAGTAGTACGACGAGTATCAAAGCCCACACTTGCAAGCTGGCTGTATGCTCGCTATACAAGATCGCACATACAGAAGGCCATTAAAAAAGACACTTTGCTCATAAAGAGTATCCCCAGTTTTTTTTTCTCGAATGACGGGCTAAACGAATAACGAGTACAATTACTAGAGATACTGACCCCTTCTCCTTGGCACCTTTGGAAGCCGCAACGACGTGCCTAGGATCTTATACATAGCACTTGGATAGAGTTCACCAGGGCGCAGTTCGGCGACGTGGGGCATTTTGTACTTTCATTGCTTCCTTAGTTCCGGTTTACAAGTCTCACTCTGGTGAAACCTGTGAACTCTTGTGAAGCTGGAGCAAGGTCGTCAAGCCATCATGGTAAACTGTCAAATCGAGAACAAGCTGTTCGGTAGACACGTCGAAGGGAAGCAGCAAAACCGCAAAATGCCCCCAACCCCGTCCGTGCCCGAACTGCGTCGTTCACTAAGTTCGTCCTGAAAAATAAATCGTCTACCACACGACGTTGCCCGAAAAGCTGGATGCTTGACCTCTTCCACCATCATTGCGGCACTCTCTAGGAGCATGAGCACTACTGAGACCAAGGTGGAAACTACACAGCTGCCTCAGGCTGACCCGAATACTACCGGAAGTCTTGAGCACGACATCCATGACAGGTGGCTTCACCTTGTCATGACTGTGGAGACTGGGGCGCAGTCCCTACTCGTACTTGTAAAGAAGCATCTTGGGAACATTATTATATCGTGACTCTTTCATGTAGCTTGCCACCCCTGTAATAAGCTCTGATGATCGATCCACTTAGTGAGCAAGGGGTTTCTTATTGGCCTCCCCCATGTTTTGCTCATGGGTAGGGTCCGTCGCAATCGCAGATGACGTACTAGGCAGGAAATATTGTTGTGGTAGGCATTATCCAGCAAAGATTTTGATTGCTCAGGTTTCTTTCCAAGTTCTCGGTGTTTTCTGCTGTGTCCATGCCGGCTAAATTTGACAAATATTCATTGGGGGAGAGGGGGGGGGGGCAAAAAAAGTCACTTCGACCGAGTCACATATCAGCAAAGTTTTCGCAGCCCAGACAGAGGACGTGGATACGAGTACCAGGGCGGAAGATACCCAAGATGTTCCTCTATAAGCAGGAGCTGGCTCTCGCCCATCACCTTCATGTACACCAAAATATGAAGTCATCTCCAGTCGCAGCCTGACTGGAGAAGACCTTTGGAATTCATGTCACCTCCAAACAGCTGCGAAACTTCTAGTATGGAGTCACCCATGGAGACCAGTACTCTCGATCTGGAAGACCTCCAACATCGAGCAGCTCCGACAACGTCGCTACGGTCTAGGACATCATCTTCACCGTAGTCGCCGAGGCGCGAGTTGATGGTATGGACCGGGTACCTGGAATGGGAAGACCGATATTTTCTTTGTAGACCCGGACTGAAGGTGAGCGCTGGCGGTTACATCGAGCAACTCGAGAAGAATATCCTCCCTACATGTCGTCGCCCGTACCTTCTTGGAAACTTTGTACTGCTACAGGATTGGGTGCCACCACATGGAATCGAAGGGGGGAAAACTCTCGCCTACTTGGAATGGAAGGGCGTTTAGTACCTGAAGAAGATGTAATATTTAAGTATGTCCCCTGACCTGAACCCTCTCAATTACCGGGTTCGGGCGGAGCTCAACAAGGGGTCTACAGTGGCCGAGAAATCAACTATCTCGCTGAAGCTAGGTACCGAATCACGGTTGCGTGGCAGAATCTCTCGACGGCGCTCCTCCAGAAGGCTGTGGCGGAGTATCGTGATAGTATTTAATATGCTCTTCAATATGGTGGTAGAATTGTCCGATCAGAGTTCAACAAAGTGTAATTTAGACGCCTCGAATGTCAAGGAAGAAAAATGACTTTTTTTGCCCCCCCCTGTATAGCTGAATGAGCTGGATCCAGACAGTGTCCAGCTTATGGCTCTGGCCTTTCTTGGAGGCCACTCCTCATTATGTCTCCACGTCTCTGAATAAAATGACAAAAAAACGGCAGAATATTATATCCAGGGCTCTAATGAGTGGCTAGATTTCGCCCAGGAAATATTTTTCCCCTTCCAGAAAACTGATCGTGTGATCAAATCAAAAACCCGAAAAAGCCTGTACCACGCACTATGCCCTACAGAAAATCGCTGTAATAAATACGGTAATAATCCCAAATGATAAATATGCTTCTCTCTTTTTCCACTCACCAGCTGTTCTGAATAGAAGGATCGCGAATCAATGTAGAACTTAGCTAATGAGCCCCAATTCCACTACAACCATTACATTACATTTATTTGCATTCATTTACCACGACATGCTAATACATTCTTGAACAAAAATTCACTATAAAAATATTAAGAAAATGTCAAAGTGAAAAAGTAATACACGTATTGCACGAGAAGCACACTATGTTGAATCTGCTCACAAAACACTTTAACATCAAAATGTATCACATAGAAAAATATTCCTACTCGTCAATGTCCCTGAAAGCAGCAAATAGATTGTCCATTTTCTTACACAGCGTACTTCCTTTCAATCTGAGGTAATTCAGCGTTGTAAACGGGACATGCACTTGATCGTCATACTAAAAGTGGTCAAGTATCACAAGCAATCAAATGATGGTTTAGCGAAATTTTTACACAGTCCAGTCTTCCCTGGTGACCGGCTCAAGTTTGTGATAGCTTTAGGATGAGCTGCAGGCGTAACATATTCAATGGTAAACGCGGACGGACTGATAAGCGAGGCAAAGGATGAAACTTCAGTCTTTGCCGTTTTTTAGGATGCGCCACGCGTTTTATTTACACTCGGAATCGTAGTAGATTACTGAGTGCTATATGACCAAACAATGACTCGCGGCCAGCCGGTGTACAAGTCAATATTCTCACCCAATTTGTTACCAAGTCACACTTTCCGAAGATAATAAGGCCCTGTGGGCATGAGCGGGAGTTGATACGTGATTCAACCCCTTGACGCTCCCGGAAAGCATGCCACACTAACCATCTTCGCCTCGGTGAAGCGTCGTAGATCTTCCATTCTTAGGACGATTTCTTAGGTCGCGTTCATGCTGTCCTAGTGTTGAGAATTCGCGAATCGGGAGCGCTACGAGGGAAAGTGCGCTACCAGGGATTATTTGAGCCATGGTTAAATCCGCCCACGGACGAAGCATGCATTCTCCCAATTCTCTCATTTCCTTCTCTTGATACAGGTGGGGGGGGGGCATTTTCCATATTCGCGAAATATGTACGCGCTTTGTTGCAGAACACTTATCGGAAGACATCCACCAGAATCAGGAAGTCTTCATAGTCCAGTGATCAAATGAGCGAAACGTGTGAAAGATCCTTCACTTGAGAGGAGAGAGATTGATTCGAATTCTGTGATTAGGCTGAAGAAAAAAGTTCATACCTTTGTAGCACCTTGAAACTTCCTCACTTGAATCAGAGGGTCACGATCGATCCCGAAACGAATGAATACTTCCCTGTAAACAATGAAAACTGACCCAGCCATCTGCGAACAAAATACCAACAAAGTCTTCTTTTATACCATTTAACCTCAACAAACAAATTCTACAAGTTGACCCTCCAACTTTCTTGATTCCTGTGAAATTAAAAAAAACACACATTGTGGCATCGGGATTGAGCATGTATAAAGTCGGCGCTGGTCTCCCATGCTCGTCCGTGGCATTCATGTTTGCATGCAGAAGTTGGTAAAACCACATCACCTTCCCCAGTGTCGAAATAGATGTGACGGAAAATGTGCACGCCTGAAAGAACCGAGTAAACCGAGCATACAACAGAG